GGAATAGGGAGAGACAAGGGAGAGATGACATGTACAGCTTTGCGCCTTATTTTGTGATTCCGTCTCCTTGCTTCCTGTCTCTTCTATTCCTTGCAGCACGCTTCCAGAAACATAGCATCCTTGTTATCTCTCCTCTCTCACTTCCCTTTCCCTTCTCTTCTTCTGCTTCCTTTAACTGATAAAACACAAGAAAGGAACTCATATGATAAAGCAGTGGAAGGGTAAGCAGACGGTGACTCCTTGCGCGTGGACCTTTCCATAATACTCCATCATATTCCTCCTCTCGGCCTATCTCTTCTGTTCCTTTCCTTACCCTTCTCCTTCTCATAGTTCTTCCTTTTTGTTTTTCTCATTTCGAAAAGAAAGAGGGAAGGGAGAAACAAGGGAGAGCGGATAGACAAAGAAGAGTGCACATCTTCTCTGCGCCTTGTTTTGTCTCCCCCTCTTCTCCATTCATCTCTCTTCTATTCTTTTCTTTGCTCTTCCCATTAAAAAAGCAATCCATTGTATCTCTCCTCTCTCCTTCTCTCTTCCTCCAACGGGTGTCCTTTTGGATCGTTTTCTGCATCTTCAAGTGAGAAAAAAGGACACCCAAAAGAAAACACTGAGGGTGCCCCTTTTGCTCGATTGAAGACACAGAAAACGATTAAAAGGGACGCCCATTTTGGATTGGCAGCAAACCCAGCTGATGCTCATGATTCTCTCTCTCCCTACATATGGGCGATGGGACGGGTGTCCTTTTCAATCGTTTTCTGCATCGTCAAGGGAGGAAAAGGAACACCCCACAAGAAGGAAAAGTAACATAAGAGATAGGGAGGGAAATTGAAGAACTCCTCATTTTACTTAGTCATTCCCTTTCCTCTCTTCTTATCTGCTATTTTTCTTATTCGCTTCAAAAAGCACCATAAGGGAAAGGGGAATTCCTGAAGAGGAGAGAGGGAACCTATCTGTGAAGAGCCAGAATGGTTTTTTTCAAATTTATGCCCTTTCCTTTGTATCTACCACACAAAAACACGACTCTCAGCTTCCAAATAAACCCTATTTAAGCCTTGCACGGGGGCGGGGGGGTACAGTTATGAAAGGGAGTGGTTCAAAAGGGGGTAATATAGGGCCTTTTTTGATTAGAATAGGGTCTTGCGGGGGGGTTATTAGAGTGTAGTTAGAAATGGACCATCAGGGAATACTGGTAGGAGTTTTTTTCCGCTTCCTGGATTATGTAACTACTCCTTAAGGCTCCCTGAGCTTCTTTAAGGCTCCTTAGGTACCTACCCCCCATGACCACCCTAAACCACCCATGAGCGCCCCTCTTTCAAGGACCCAATAAGTTGAGACCTAGACACTTCGGGGGTTTGAAAACATTGTACTCTTTTGGGGGTTCTTATGATGGTAAGGATTGTGGCATTTCGGGGTAGATTAAGACCCCAAATCCTAAACCCTAACTCCTAAAGGCAACCCTAGGTACCCGCATTTTGGGAAGTAGGGTTTAGGGTTTAGGGTTTAGGGTGCCCAACATTGCCAAGCACTCAGCCCGGCACCGTGCTTGGGTCACTGCCCTTTCCCACTGCCAGCTTCAGGCGATTGCCGTTGGCCTCAAGGATCTCCTGGAAAAACGGTACGCAACTTGGGGTTTAGGGTTTAGGGTTTAGGGTTTATCAGGATTTGGACCCTATGGGTTCTTCGGACTCTGAGGCGTCCCTGAGCCCTGAACCCTAAACAACGCCCCAAACCCCAAACCCCAAACAACCCAACCCCCAGAAAAACCTCAGCCCCAAACCCCAAACCTTAAACAACCCAAAAGCACCCTAAGCCCTAGACCCTAAACAACTCTAACCCTAAAACCCTCAGCCCTAAGCCCAAAACCCCGCCAATGCCTTGAAGTCCCTAAACCCTAAACCCTAAACCCTAAACCCTAAACCCTAAACCCCAAACCCTAAACCCTAAACCCTAAACCCTAAACCCTGCCTTGAAGTAGGGCGACTCCGAGCCACCAGGCAGGCCCAGCAGTGCTCGGTACTCCGGGCCTCGTGGCTTCCCGTCCTCGCGGAGCAGGGTTTAGGGTTTAGGGTTTGGGGTTTAGGGTTTAGGGTTTAGGGTATAGGGTTTAGGGTTGGGGTTTAGGGTTTAGGGTTTAGGGTACCAGGCAGGAGCTATAGCTGCTATAGAACTGCTTCTTTCTTTTCCTCTTAAGCAGGAGCTTGAGTCGTAAGGCCAGAGCTCCAGCCCCCTAGTAGGGCTTAAGGAATTTCAGAGTTTGGGGCAAGCCCTAAAGCCTGAAGCCCTAAGCCCTAAACCCTAACCCTAAACCAATAGACCCATAGACCCATAGACCCTAAACCCTAAACCCTAAACCCTAAACTCTAAACCCTCATGCCAAAGTCCCTATCCCCACACCCTCCTCGCTCTCCCCTTCCTCGCCCTTACGGTCGCTGTCGCTCTCCACAGAAGGCAGCGGCACCTGGTATACCGACTCAAACCCAGAACCCTAAACCCTAAACCCTAAATCCTAAACCCTGAACCCTAAACCCTAAACCCTAAACCCAAAATCCTAAACCCTACAAGGGTTGAGGATGGGCGTGGAGTTTGCCGTGCGGGGCTGAAATAAAGTGCTCAAAGGGCTCACCTAGGGTTCATACTTAGCAAAATCTCCAGCAACCAGAAAAGACAAAAATGCGGAGTTCGCTGTGATGGCGTGGGGGTTTAGGGTTTTGAGGGTTTGGGGTTTGGGCTTGGGGCTGCAGAGTCTGTGACAACGGACGCCCGGGACGAACCATTTGGGCGGGGAGGAGCTTTGTGGGTCAAGATGACCCTAAACCCTAAACCCTCAACCCTAAACCCTTCAACCCTCAACCCTTCAACCTGAAGCCCTAAACCCTAAACCCTAAACCTCTGGCCGCCGGGAGGAGCTTGGCAAAACTTACGATGGGACAAGGCACCAGGTCCAGGAACGCCTTGGCAAAGGTGCCGACTTTGTCGGGAGGTATGCCGGCGACCTCCACAGCCTCTCAAGGGACTGAAGGAGGGACCCTTAAAAGGGACCTTCTTTTTGAGGGGGTTGTTTGGGGGTTATGTAGGGGCTACGTAGGTATATAGGGACTATATCAGGTATATTTATGGGGGTTATACAGGGGAACAAGATGAAGGGCCCATTCTAGGAGTCCCTCCTTGTACCCCTTAAGCCTCCGCGTGCCCGAGGATGGCGTAGTCGCGTCTCGGATACTCCATGTTATGGTAACAAACCTTGAAGCCAGAGGGTTTAGGGTTTAGGGTTTAGGATTTAGGGTTGTCAGGGAAGAGAGGAAGGAGCCGGGTAGCTTCTTGGGTAGAGGTATGACCTAGGAGCCCAAGTATAAGAAAAGTCAAAAGGCTAAACCCTGAACCCTGAACCCTGAACCCTGAACCCTGAACCCTGAACCCTGAACCCTGAACCCTGAACCCTAAACCCTAAACCCTAAACCCTAAACCCTAAGAGTAGAGACTCAGAAGCCAGCTGATTGTTCACAGGCAGACCTCCCGCATAGCCGCTGATCGATGTGACCGACGCGCCCGATCGGCCGAGGAGCGAGGACTCCAGTGAGGTGCAGTCCTTGGTGGGCTAGGGTTTAGGGTTTAGGGTTTAGGGTTTAGGGTTTAGGGTTTAGGGTTTAGGGTTTAGGGTTTAGGGTTTAGGGTTTAGGGTTTAGGGTTTAGGGTTTAGGGTTTAGGGTTTAGGGTTTAGGGTTTAGGGTTTAGGGTTTAGGGTTTAGGGTTTAGGGTTTAGGGTTTAGGGTTTAGGGTTTAGGGTTTAGGGTTTAGGGTTTAGGGTTTCCCTGGTTCTTCGTAGGGAATGAGGGAATTACGGCCCCATATGTACCCTCAAGGGGTTATACAGGGTACGTCATTCCCTTATTCCCTACTAAGAACCAGGCAGTTTAGGCAATGGTCGGAAAAATATTCTCCCAAGTATGTGATCCTCTTGGACCCATATGAGGGCAGACAATCCTGGACAGATGATCCTCTTAAGCCCAAGACTAAGACAGGAAAATATGCAAAATATCCCAAGGGCCTACCTTGAGTCACTTTGGACGCGCCAGAATGAGCCCTGCCCAAAGTACATGTCCACAGGGGGACTGGTGGCCCCAACCGGTGCGGCCGCGGCCCCTAACAGCTGCGCCACCTGCGCTACATGTGCGAGGGCGCTCCTGCGGCGAGGGATGTCGGCTGTTTTCACAGGCCGGCTTCCATGCAGGAATGCCCGGTCCAGCCTATCTGGGCCTGTAAGAGCCCCAGAGAGGGGCTGGCGCCTGTTGTATTCCTTGCGCTCGGGCACAGCCACGACCAGTGCATAGCACGCGAGGGCAAGCGCGCTCCATCGTAGCAACCGCGGCGTGGAAAGCCGCGACGGCATGTCTTGTCAGAGACTTGATGCTGATGCATGCAGTAAGCTCCCTGAAAGCAGTATGCGATCTTACTTGTGTCTGTACATGTATGTTGGATATCATGCTCCAGCACAGAACTTGAGGGAAAGACCAATTCATCCATGAGCAAGTCTCCCTTAAACCCTAAACCCTAAACCCTAAACCCTAAACCCTAAACCCTAAACCCTAAACCCTAAACCCTAAACCCTAAACCCTAAACCCTAAACCCTAAACCCTAAACCCTAAACCCTAAACCCTGCGGCACGCACCCAGTTGTCAGGTGCTGCAGGGGGCGCACCGTCCGCGACTTCTGCTGCGTCGGGATGCCCTTCTTTCCCCTCAGAGGCCATCCCAGGTCGCTTCTACTTAGGGTTTAGGATTTAGGGTTTCGGGTTTCGTCTAGGATGGCCCTGAAAACCCTCTGGAAAATATTCCTATATGTGCCTTAAACCCAATAAGGGAAGCAAATAAATCAATATACAATATATATATATATATATATGTTTTCCCCTTGGCCTACCTAGTCGTTTGATATTGGTCGAGGGTGTAGGGTTTAGGGTTTATTGTCTGCTATTCTCTTGCTACCAGTTACTTTTATTGCCATTACTACCGATTCGGAGCATTTTCAGTGTTCTTCCGCCCCTGGCCAAAGGCTCTGCTGGACTGTTGTTCCCGGCCCTTCCAAACCCTAAACCCTAAACTTCAACCCGAAAGCCCAAACCCTAATAAACCCCTAAACCCTAAACCCTAAACCCTAAACCCTAAACCCTAGACCCTCTCTCCAGGTGCCCAGGCGGTCTCTATCGCGGTCGCGATCTCGCTTCTCCTTGCTACGACTTCCTCGGTGAGGCGGAGTCTCGCAAAAGAGTCTGGAATCAAAATACGGGTGTAGGGTTTAGGGTTTAGGGTTTAGGGTTTAGGGTTTAGGGTTTAGGGTTTAGGGTACGTACATACTTATGAGAACGGAAAAGGTGGCATGCTTCACGAACCACAAGAGAGGCAGGAACAAGACAATGGGGATGGAAGCCCCCAACACCTAAACCCTAAAGGCTAAACCCTAAACCCTAACCCTGAACCCTGAACCCTAAACTTACAGGGTTCTTAAGGGAGGGAGGTTCAAGGGGGGTATGTAACCCAAGGTTCCCTAACACTCCCTGCGGCTCCCTAAGCTTCCCTAAGGCTCCCTAGGTACACACCCCCCATGAACCCCCCTCACTTAAGAACCCTATAATAAACCCCAAACCCCAAACCCTAAACCCTAAACACTAAATTAAACCGAGGACATTGTGTTGAAAAGTGTTGAGCCGCCGGCTGCTCCTGGCTGTACGTCTTTTTCGGCTGGCACTTTTCTTCGGCTTCTTCTCTTCCTTCACCTTCTTTGGCATTACCATTCTTTGATGATATTGTTGTACTATATTCTATAACAGTAGTTATTCGATGTGCTAAACCCTAAACCCTAAACCCTAAACCCTAAATCCTAAACCCTAAACCCTAAACCCTAAACCCTAAACCCTAAACCCTATTGTGATACTCGTCTTAAAGGCCTCTTTGGCTTCTTTGGCTGCTTTGGCAGCTTTGCTCTCCTTGGCTTCCTTCAGCTCGCTTTCTTTGCTCGCCGGGGGGCCTGGCGAAGGAGATGGCATTCAGCGACCGCGGCAAGGAGGCCTAAACCCTAAACCCTAAACCCTAAACCCTAAACCCTAAATACTAAATGCTAGCATCCCTAATCGGGATTATCGTACCCCGTGCTATAATCCCCTATTAAGGACTGCTAGTGCAAAGGGGGGGACATCCCAAGGTGGAGGGCTACGAGGTGAGACGAAAAACGCACCTGGCTCTTCTTTGCTCTCCTCCACAAGGCTGCGACAAGAAAGGCAAAGTTGTGCGGCTGCATCGGCTTTCGGGCACCATCGTCATTCTCAGGGTAGCTTCATGGGCCCGTAATAGTATGGTCCCTAACCTCCTTCAAAAATGTGTGGGCCCTTCATCTGTCTAGGGTAGAAAAGGGGTAAAGAAGGGGTACATAAGGGATACTCTTTCCAGGGACGCGCCCATACTAAGGGACCAAGTACAACTACCCTAAGAGTCATGCATCATCCCCCTACGACTACCGAATGCAAGATTGCGTCCTGCTCGTCGCTGGCCTTTTCTCGGGACTCAGCCGATGCCCTTGGCAAGGTCTGAAAAGAGGGGACGCTAATATAGACCCCCAAATAGTAGGATTCCCTAGAGGATCCCAATACGGTACCCCTATTTTCGGAAACCCCAACATAGCTTGAACAGCATGCCGGTCGTCCCACGTCAGAGACTGAAATATCTTTAGAGGATGTGGAAACCCACGGCTGCAAGAACTGCAGACACGCAGCTAGCTAACCCTGCTCCCGCAACTGAAACTGCAAGAACTCTCCCTTCGCAAGCTGAGGCGGCAGCTCTTGAGAAGGTTTAGAGGCCTGGCAGCACAAATGTCCCAAACTCTCTTTGCCGCCTGCTGCTGGTTTTCGGTCATTTCCTCACGAAGGGACACTCCTTATGTACCCAAACTACGATACTCACGATCCTGTTACAGGAACTCTGGCAAGTCCTTTCCTTGACTGAGGGTATGTACCCCTAACCTACTACAATCCCCATTCTGGGAAGTCTAGCATAGGAACCCCTTAGTTTGGTAAGCCTCCGTAGGGTGCACGCTGAATAGGTGCATGGAAGCCGAGGCAAGATCTCAGATGTCGGGCCATGAAGCTATCATGGGATCTTGCAGGTTCCAACCCTAAACCCTAAACCCAAAACCCTAAACCCAAGGGCCCATACTTCAGACCCCTTCAAAGGAGGCAAGGGACCATATGAAGGGACCATGGAACTACCCTGAGAAGGTTAAGGAGCCCTAGGCCCTAAACCCCCAAGCCCTCCAAACCCCGTACCCCTGAACCCTAAATCCTAGACCCGAAACTCCTAAACCCTAATTTTTCCCTAAACCCTAAACCCTAAGCCCTGAACCCTGAACCCTAACCCTAAACCCTGAACCCTAAACCCTAAACCCTAAACCCTAGACCCAAGAAGCCCAACGAGCGTTGGGATGTGGCGCCAAGCCCCGCCTCGGGAGCTGCCGGCCCCGTCTCCTGTTCATAAGGAAGCAGGAGGGTGCAAGGGAGGGTTTAGGGTTTAGGGTTTAGGGTTTAGGGTTTAGGGTTTAGGGTTTAGGGTTTAGGCTTTAGGGTTTAGGGTCCAAGGCTTAACGCGGATGTAAAGAGAGCAACCCTTCCCGACTTCCCAAGTATTCCCAAGTGAGAACTAGTAAGCCATGTTCAACGAGAACTCATCGGAGCCCTTAGAAGACAGTCCAATTACGTATGGAACCCATACATCACCATGAATGCCCTTTTACAGTCCTCCGTGAGGGAGAAGCAGTTCCCCATGCATGTCAGTGTCCATCTAAAAGTGTAACAGGTATGATACATATCCTGTCCTCTTATAGAATAAAACAACACCGTACAGAGATAAGAACGTAGGAATAGCAAGCGGAAAACTTCAAAATTCAGGTTAGTTGTGACATAGAAAAGAAGAGCAACAGCAAAATCAAGCAGACTGTAGTATAAAGAAAATATGCTAAACGTACGTGCAATGACTACTTAACAATCATCATCATGGTTGACTCTTACAAGAAAGGCAGCAGGAACAATCATACAATACCCTAAGCCCTAAGCCCTAAGCCCTAAGCCCTAAGCCCTAAGCCCTAAGCCCTAAGCCCTAAGCCCTAAGCCCTAAGCCCTAAGCCCTAAGCCCTAAACCCTAAACCCTAAACCCTAACCCTAAACCCCACGACCCCCAGGGCCTCCTCCTTGGGGGAAGCGCTCCCCTTCCCCTCGTCACCAGGAGGAGCTTCCTACGGCAGAAGAGGCTTCCAGCCAGGACCGAGGGCTTAAAATCTCAGAGGGTTGTTGAGGGACCAGGGTTTAGGGTTTAGGGTTTAGGGTTTAGGGTTTAGGGTTTGGGGTTTAGGGTTTAGGGGACCAGGTTGAGGGTTCAAACCCTAATCCCCCCCGAAACCTCCTAAGCTCCATTAATGTGTAAGCCCTATAGATTTTTTAGGGCGCTTCGTCTGAGTCGCTTGTGGCTGTTGGATGTTCAAGGCTCCGCAGCAACACATGCGGCTGAAAAAACAAAAGAGGCAACCTCGAATAGCCTTATCACTGCTTCAAGGCGGCATGATATCCTGGGTGAAGCCTGGGCCAGCGAAATCTGAAATCCTGGCCCACAACCCCTTAAACACACACTAGTCTAAGGCCCTTAGTATGGCCCCTTACCCGTTTTTATAGGGATCCGCTGTCTGGGCCCTTTGTATACATAGTGTTGATAAGGGTTATATAACAAGGGACCCCAGGTAAGGGCCCATACTTAGAACCCTAGACAGTAACCCTAAACCCTAAACCCTCAAACCTGCTTGGAGGTTCATGGTACTTGTTAACCAATTTTGACTGTACTTACAAGCCACTTATAAGCCCCTTAGGTGCTCTAATATGGCTATAAGTGCAATTGCAAGTACAGTTATATTTGGTTAGTAAGTGCCATGAACCTCCAAGTAAACCCTAAACCCGAAACCCGAAACCCTAAACCCTAAACCCTAAACCCACTTGAAATGCCCCAATGCTTGGAGAGCCAGAACGAAGGGACTGCAAGCATCGATGCGGCTTCACTGCATTCCAGCAGGCCTCTGGTTTCGACTTCGGTCCTTAGCCAACCATCAAGGTTTAGGGTTTAGGGTTTAGGGTTTAGGGTTTAGGGTTTAGGGTTTAGGGTTTAGGGTTTAGGGTTTAGGGTTTAGGGTTTAGGGGTTAGGGGTTAGGGGTTAGGGGTTAGGGGTTAGGGCTTCGGGTTCGAGGGTTTAGGGCTTGGGCTTTGGAGAGGCCTTTCCGCCACGGGAACAAAGTACGTAGTTCATTGATGACCCACGACTAGAAAAATTGGTCATAGGAGCGAACCCGCTGATGACCACAAACCGTAAACCCTAAACCCTCCTTTCCCTTTTGCTAGTTCTTAGTAGGGAATGAGGTAATTCTACATATTGCTTGCCTGATATCCTACCCTGCAAGGGAATCTGTAGGGACTTGAACGCCCCAAGGGCCTTGCCGCGTCAGGAATATTTCTCCTGCTATTGCTACCATATGTTTTTACTACGTGTGTCTTGTGTGTCCTGGCTGTCACTGTCCATTATGCCAAGAAGCTGACCGAACAAATCAACATCGAGCCCGCAACCGAGGCGGGCGCAGGACAATCTACTGCCCTAGGCCCTGAACCCCCATTGAGCCCCGAACCCTAAACCCGAAAACCCTAAAAACCCTATAGCCCCAAACCCAATACCCCAAATCCAGCAACGTGCCCACGAGGCCAGGGCCGTCTTTCTGTGAGGCTTTTAGGCCTCCTGCTTCCTCCGGCTGCGCGGGTTTAGGGTTTAGGGTTTAGGGTTTAGGGTTTAGGGTTTAGGGTTTAGGGTTTGGGGTTTGGGGTTTGGGGTTTTGGGGTTTAGGGTTTAGGGTTTAGGGTTTAAGGTTTAAGGTTTAGGGTGGTTCTCCACAAATGGGTGGTTCTAGAGGTCCTTTGAAGGGTTCGTTTTTTTCGGGATATCCCTGTTATAAGCTGTACGAAAAACGCGAGCCTACCTTTTGGGTGGCAAGAATTTTAAGCAACTTCAGAATGACGTTCGCTGTTTTGGGTACCCAATACATTGTTGTTATCATTATAACTGTTATTTTTATTTTGTTATTGTTATTGTTACTGTTATTGCTATTGTGATTGTTATTGATATTGTTATTGTTATTGTTATTATATAAAATTAAAATTGTAATTATAACTATAATTATAACTCTAAATACTATTTTTTTTATTACTACATTTGTTTATCACTATTATTACCAATGCTTTTTTGTTGCTATTATTATTGTTAACATTATTGTTGGTATTGTTACTGTTACTGTTCCTGTTACTGTTACTGTTACTGTTGTTGTTGTTGTTGTTGTTGTTGTTGTTGTTGTTGTTGTTGTTGTTGTTGTTGTTGTTGTTGTTGTTGTTGTTGTTGTTGTTGTTGTTGTTTTTTTGTTGTTGTTACTATTAATATTATTACTATCATTATCATTATTATTGTTGGTATGAGCTTTGGGGTATAGCTTTTTCTGGGCACGAGAAATATGCGACCCTGAGGTTTTCCCAATTCAGAGAACCATGATGCATGTGCTCCACGGGATGCTTGGGGCCTAGGGCTGTAGGGTTTAGGGTTTAGGGTTTAGGGTTTGGGGTTTAGGGTTTGGGGTTTAGGGTTTAGGGTTTGGGGTTTAGGGTTTAGGGTGGCAAGATGTCCTGGGCTATTTCATCGGCTTTGGAAATCAAGTCAAGGAAGTAGATGCGCTCCTCAGCTGGCCCATCTTGCAGTGTAGATCAGGGTTTAGGGTTTAGGGTTTAGGGTTTAGGGCTTGGGGTTTAGGATCTGGGGTTTAGGGTTTAGGGTTTGGGGTTTAGGGTTTAGGGTTTCGGGTCTGGGGTGGAGGTCAGGGGCTTGGTAGCGCACGTGGCACCTGCACGATGCGCAGTCGGACTGAGGCTTCTCTCTGACATCTGCCTCTGGCCGACTCTATCCTAGTTGTCCAGTATTTAGGGGAACTAAAGGTTAACCTTTGGGATTATGAGGAGGTTCTATTGCCCCCAAAAAGGTTAAAGCGCGACCTGTGCACAGCAAGTCCCCGGCGTCGAGCGTGAGACATGCTACAAATAGATTCAGAAGTCAGGCGGAAAGCCCGGGGGAAGAGGCAACGACAGATGAGGAGGGATTCGATAATTGTACTTAAGGATGCGAACTCTGGGAACAATGAGCCCTTCAAGGAATCTTCTGACTCTGAGTCCTGAGAGGAGGACTGACTGTGGTTTGGAGAGAGGGTACAACGTTTGTGAAGCCGTAAGACGCAAAGGTTAAAGGTTACCTACTCTACAACTAAGCTATCTTGCAAAGCGACCGGTATGTTGCTTTGGTCAGGAGTATGCCGGTCAAAAGCAGCCGAAGTTACACAAACAGGAGCCCACGTTGCGCATGCCGAGGTAGCCAGCCTAAGTTTAGGGTTGTATCCAGAACCTTGAAACGAAACCCTAAACCCTAAACCCCTAAGCCCCTAAGCCCCAAACCCTAAGCCACAAACCCTAAACAGACGATGCAACGGTGCTGTTTCCTGCTGCCACTCCTGCCAGAATGCCCGAGTCTCAGCCCATGGCGAGAAGGCCACAACCAAGCGGACATTGGGGAAGAGAGCTTGGAACTGCGTGAATACGGATAAGCAGGACACGCAGGGGGTGTGGCAGGAGAAAAGTCGCACAGTGCCCGTCGCACCTGGGGAGGCCCCTTGCTCGAGAAGCCTCTGAAGCACCTTGAGCAAGGCCCTCCTCTCAGAGTGCTGAGACCTGTCGTAGGAGGAGAAGATCGGCCGCAAGAGATCTGAGCCCTCAGGCCACCGGTGCAGCCCGTGTGCAACAATCTCGCCGTTGCTGCGAAATCGGCGGGGTTGGCCGGACCCGGAGGCTGCCGAGTCATCACCTGGGTGGCCCAGGAAACATATTACAATCAGGGTGACCCCTCTTTTTTTGGGGGTTCGTTACTTCATAAGGGATAACCTTGTTTCACGAAAGAATAGAGAAGATAAACGGGTACCACTGGGCTACCAAGCCACCGGATTCGGCAGGTTGAAACACCAGGTGCGAGACCCATGAAAAGAGCTGCCGGGCGGAGGCCTCCTTCGGCAAGCCTCCCGGAAAGCTCCGGTCGAGGGCAGCGGCGATTGCCGTCTTTGCCTTGGGCAGCCCAGTAACCATATTAAGAAGAAGGGTACCATCAAGAATAAGGGTACCTTTTTGGGGTTGGTTAATCTACAAGGGAACCTAGAACCCAAAAAAAGGGGGCAGAAGGGTACCACTGTACCACCAAGTTGCTGTTACGAGCCACTCGTCCTCGTGGCCGCTGGCGATGCCCAGCTGCAGCAAGGCCTCTCCCGTAAAAAGGACCCCGAGCCCATGCTGCCCGGCAAGCTTTGAGCTTTCTTTCGAGGCAGAGCGTTGCAACTCCAGCATCGTAGGGCGCAAGACGACTTCGCGGAAGGCATCCTCCAATGTCTGAGACCTGCGGCCCTCCGCGTGCAAGGCGTCCAACGCCAAGACGGTCTGCACGCCCCGAGAAACGCGAAGCTTGATTGCAGCATCCGACTGGCAGTCCACTCGCATTTCTTCCAGCTGCTGCAGAGCGTGCTGTGTGATCTCTTCGTACAGGGACTCTATATACGGAAGCGCAGCTGGAGAGTCAGAGGCTTTCAGTGCGGCGATGGCACTACAAAGGCCTGACACAGTTGGCTGGCATCCTTGCGATCGGGACTCCTCCAGCACCCAAACAGCCTCCTGCCAACACCCCGCCTCGCAAATCCCCAAAGCTGCGTCGTAGCCCACTGCATCCAACTTCTCTGTCTCCAGTAGCTGTTTGAGATACTGCAGACCGAGCGCCCACGACTGGCTCCTTCGGAAGGCAGTGAGCATGGCGGTGTGGCAAGGAAGATCCGGAGTCAGAAGCCTTTCCTGCATGCTCTTCATCAAGGACAGGGCCCTGTGCCAGTCGCCACCTTTGGCGCAGGCTGTGATGGCACTGCCCAGAGATCGCAAATCGGGGTCGGGAGTCTCCTGTAAGAGTGCCAGGACATGCTCCCACTTGCTTGCACTCTCCAAGGCTTGGAGGGTGGTGTTGAAGCTGACTAAGTCCGGCTTGCGTGCCTCCGCTTCCTCTGCTTCCCTCATGGCGACAAGCACCTCGAGTGCCCGAGCCCAGTGCCCTGCCTTTGCCAGGGCCGCCAGCCGCACGTTCTGGGTCACCTATACTCCCCTTAGAACCTTAATAAAAATAGTTGTTTAGTATCCTCTTGGGTTTTTTATGAACAAAAATACAAAACACTTTTTTTTTTATCCCTATCCTCTTTGGCTTTTTTTATTAACAACAATACAAAAATAATTCCCAAGGGGGATATAGTCACCAGGCTCGCGGTGAGCCCCTCCGGCAGCATCAGAACTGCGAGCGCAGCTTGCCAGCGAGAGCACCGGTGGCAGAGGCTCGCAACGGCGTTGAAGCAAGACAGGTGCTCTTGGCCCAAACTTGCCTACTTCATGGTTGGGATAGTATTAGAAATGTAAACTCCTAGTCCTTATTGGGTTTAAGCACCCTCAAAAATGTAAAAAATGTTCCCCAACTGTGACAAAGTCGCGTGTGCACTAACCTGCTGCAGCAGCGCTATGGCCTCTTGCCAGCGGACTCCGTGCCCGAGCTCTGAGACTGCCGTACAGATGGCACCGGCCGCCGGCAGAGTGCGCTCAACGCGATCTGTGCCCAGAAGCCGCTGGCGCAGAGGGTTGAGGCGGGGAAGTGTGTTGGCAATGGCAAGGGGTGCTGTCCGTGAGAAGACCGCGCCGCGGGCGCACATGAGCGTCGATCGCTGTTCTGGGCCTTTTGGGGGTCGCCACTCTGACTTACAATGCGCTTTTCTCTGAGAAGCTTAGGATACCAACAATGGCCAGGATCGAGGTCAACCTCCCACTAATAAACAGCGAACCCTAAACCCCAAACCCTAAGGCCCTAATCCCTGAACCCCAACCCTAAAAACCAAACCCGAAGGGGTCCCGAAAGCGACTTGAGCCACCTTATGGGCATTCAGGGCTTGAAAACCCGGATGTAGCCTGGTTCGCAGTCGTGTCGAGGGGAAAAAGGGGGGGGGGGTGGAATGAGACGCAACAGAAGGGGAATGTAAGGTACCCTGATTCTCAGGACCACACCAAGAACTGCTAAGTAGCAATGAATCAACAATGCAAGGTTATCTCTTTTTATGACCACCCTTAGAGTTGCTTATGAATCTTGCCCTTAGGGTTGCTTATGAATCTTGCAGAGATATTCAAAGGTTGGTTGGGGGCAGGGGTTCGGACATGCAACTGTGCTCAGGAGCGCACGGAACGGCCCAAGCTGAAGACACAGGACTGGCGCGGTGCATGAGGCAGATGATGACCCCTTCCCTACGTACATCCCAAAACCGACTCTAATTCCGACCTCCCAGCCCCGCCGCCCTTCCATTTCCCTACGCCCTCAATGTGCAAGTCAGCACTTGCGGCCGCGGCACACTCACAGCTACTCCACACGCACGGACATTATTTGCTTAAGAACCCCCCCGAAAAATAAGAAACCTTCTTCCCTATAAGGGTAATATAGGAGTAGGATCTTTCTACCATTTTGGAGGGTTCTTAAACAAGTAGTCGACAGCTGAAGAATCATACAGCACTCCCCTCTTTGCCTGCCAAGTCAGCTTCTTGCGACCATCGCCAGGTTGGAATAAAACAGATCCTTGGCTGTTGCACAGGATGTGGGCATTTCCCAAATTTGGGGCGCCCTGTCATACCCGCCCCAAATAGAACAGAATCCCCTTAAGGACCCCTCAACAAGGGTACCCCCCATTTTCGGAAACCTCCATGTTGCATGCCCTATTCTCGCAGTTGCCCAGGAAGTCCTCCAACCCCTTGCCGCAGGTCGTTCTGCAATTCTTCGGCTATGGTATGGGATGCCTTCTTCGGTGGTTTCCGACACATGACCTTCCATGATATGAGGGATGGTTAAGTTGAATATTAAATCGTGGGCCTTCGTGGTAACCTGAACTAGAAGGAGTTTTGTGCAATCAAAGACGAAGGGACGACCCATGTGTTGTGTTGGCAACTTCCCGTGTTTGTCCACCGCTCCCCCTTGGCAGGGCTATAGGCTCTAAAAAAACCAGCCCTGAAACTTAAGCTCTGCACGGGATGGCTTAGCCATGTCTGCAATGACTTACTTCTCCTATAGCCAAGGGGAAAAAAGGTTAAACTTTAATATTCCTACCAAATAAGGAAACCCAAAAAGTTTAAAGTTCAACTAAAGGCGAAGTAAGATGATATAAACCCTATATACACCCCATACAAACCCTATCGGGGCGCGATTTTTGTTGAAATCTGGTGTACAATCGAAAATTGGCCCGAAGGTGATGGTGCCAGGGCTCCCTAAACCCTAAACCCTAAACCCTAAACCCTAAACCCTAAACCCTAAACCCTAAACCCTAAACCCTAAACCCTAAACCCTAAACCCTAAACCCTAAAACCCTAAACCCTAAAGCCCTAAAACCCTAAAACCCTATAACCCTATAACCCTAAACCCCGCCAGGGCTCTGATTTCCTGTTTCTCCATCTGGTCTAGCCTTGGCGCCGCAGGGGTCAGGACAAAAAAAACAAAGAGGCTCAGGGTTTAGGGTTTAGGGTTTAGGGTTCAGGGTTCAGGGTTCAAGGTTTAGGGTTTAGGGTTTAGGGTTTACCCAACGGGTTCACTTACAGGGACGGGATTTCTCGCCATTTACAGGGTTCTGTAGTTGGAGTGTGTTGTGGGTGAAAGGTTTTGGTAGCATTTTTGAGGTTCAGTAGGCAAGGTATAGGCATGAGAGTGGTTAGGGTTTGAGGTTGAGGGTTGGTGTTTGGTTGTTCGTTGCCATTGAGTTGTTTTTGCAGCTGCGGGCGCAGGCAGTTTAACAGGGCCCCATCCCAGTCCGCAACATGTGGGGGTTTCCGAAATTAGGAGTACCTTATGGGGGGTCCATATTATAAGGGAAGCCAACACTATTTGGGACTATATTAGGGACCCCTTATTTTCGGAAACCCCCTTGTGGGTTTCGGTTTAGGCTACACGTAGTTTTGAGGGCTATCTTTTTGACGAAAAGCGCTGAAACCTAAACCCTAAACCCCAAGCCCAGAAACGAAGTGAACCCGTCTGCAGGGTTTAGGGTTTAGGGGTTAGGGTTTAGGGGAATGCAGAGGCTTTGGGTTGAGGGTTTCGCAGCTCAGCAAACTCGGCAGACCAGTCACCGGTAGAGTTCTAACCCGCAACTACTGTTTGCTTACGAACCCCCAAACAAACAAAAGACAATAGTCCCTATGGTCCGCTTAAGCCGTATAAGGAAGCATTGTCTTAAAAGGTTTGTTGGGTTCTCAAGCTAGTGGAGAAGACGCCAGAGACGTTTAGGGCCTTAGGATTTCGGGTTCTTTGGTTTTTGTGCTTCTAGGTTGGCCCTTTAAACCATCTGAAAGGCATTCCTAAATATGATCCTCTTCAACCCAACAAGGGAAAATGTAAAGTATCCCAAGGGGCTACCCAGGTAGGGTTTAGGGTTTAGGGTTCAGGGTTTTGGGTTGTGGGGTTTAGGGCTTCGTTAGACCTTTCTTACTCTGCCCCGGGCAGGCCCATGACGTGGCTCCGTCGTTCGTCTGACCTTAGGGCTTCGATGTTGTGTATGGCTTCGGGTCTACAAGGCAAGGATTTAGGGTTTAGGCCTTAGGCTTAGGGTTACGGGATTTTCCAGTTCTAAACAGTTCAAAAGCTTTTCAGCAAGCATTCCTACGAATCTCGACTTTGCGGTTTCTGTGGGCTCCATGGGTTTTATTCGGGCCCATTTAGGGTTTAGGGTTTTGGGTGACTTCAAGGGCTTCAACGCAATTTTCAAATCAACCGATATCCCAACCTCGGGCAGCTTACGGGGGAGATACTACCCTAAGAATAAGGCTCGGCATCATTGTTGGAACCTAAACCCTGAACCCTAAACCTAATACCCTAGCTGTCCAGTAACCTGGGGGAATCAAAGGTTACCTTTGGGATAAGAAGGAGATTATACTACCCAAAAAGAAAGCTAAAGGTCACCTACTCTACTACTAGGAATACACCCCAAGCCCCAAATCCTAAACTGCAAACCTGCCAGGGATTGGACAGCTTCTCCTCGCATTCTGTGCGAAGCTTCACCAGCAGCTTTGGGTGATGCGTCACAGCCTTGGTAGACAGGAGTAGCTTCGGGTTTAGGGTTTAGGGTTTAGGGTTTAGGGTTTAGGATTTAGGGTTTAGGGTTTAGGGTTTAGGACTCAGGGCTTTTAGGGTTCAGGGCTTTTTTCGGGTTGAGGGCTTCGGGATTTGGGGGCTTTTGGGCTTCTAGGGTCTGAAGGGGCTTAGAGGAGACTTTCCCTTCTAGAAAAGGAGTAAGGGCAGTACTGGTCGGTAGGCTAGGGCTTAGGGTCCCTAGGCCCTAAACCCTAAACCCTAAACCCTAAACCCTAAACCCTAAACCCTAAACCTTTTGGGGCTCTTATGGGCTTCGACGAGACCTTCCCCTTCTAAGAACCGAAAAAAAGGGCACTACTTGGCAACCTTGGTCTCCCAGGCTTGCAAAGGTCAGCCCTAAACCCTAAACCCTAAACCCTAAACCCTAAACCCTAAACCCTACACCCCGAAGCCCTAAAGCTGTGAAGCCGACCGATTGAACGCTTTGTCCGGAGATCGGATGGAGGTGGAAGCCCTCGAGCCAGACAGGCTGAGGGGGTTTAGGGTTTAGGGTTTAGAGGGGTTTGGGGGGGTTTGCAGGACTTATGAGGGTTTCAAAAGGTTTTTTGTAGGGGTTTATAGGGATTCATATCAGGCTTATCGGTTTATAGGCTCGGGTTTTATGGGGTTTATAGGCTAGGGCGGCTGGGGGTTTAATAGGGTTTATGGGGTTTATAGGGGGTTGTAGGGGTTTTACAGGGTTTACAGGGTTGGTCTGGTGGGGTCGCTGCCGGTTTCAGGTCCTTCGCGGTGTAGACCCTAAACCCTAAACCCTAAACCCTAAACCCTAAACCCTAAACCCTAGACCCTAGACCCTAAACCCTAGATCCTAAACCCTAAACCCTAAACCCTAAACCCTAATCCCTAAACCCTAAACCCTAAACCCTAAACCCTAAACCCTAAACCCCAAACCCTAAACCATGGCTTCCGGTCCTTCGCGGTGTAGACCAAAGCCACGTGTTCCGCATAGACGCCCTGCCCTCGCCGTTCAACGACATGAGAGCCTTCCACGCCGGGGGCTGGGGCAGGTGTTGGGGGCTCCCGTAAACATTCAACTTTATGGCTTTATAAGGATTATACAGGGGATTAAGGGCTATAAATAACCGGCTTTATAAGGATTACACCCCCCCATATAGGGGATTA